GGTAGATTCCTTACATCAAAATAATGCGATTAAGCCAAACTTACCTTGGTCCATTTGTGGCTAATAAAAAAGTTACAGGGCGTTAAAGTTGAAATTTTGAATTCGAAATTCTTAAAATTCTTAGAAAGTTTTCAAAGGATTCTTTTGAAAATTTGGATTAGGGGGTTTTCTGGGACGAGAAAAACGAATCCGTACTTAATTTTGCTGTAGACGCTAGAGGGCGCTACGAAATGTACTCTTGGTTGATAAAAACTGGTTATAACTTTTTATCAGTGTGTGTACGAAAGTTTTAATAGAAAAATATTGTTCTCCTATCTATTTTTCACAAATAAGGGATACTTGTTTAATGTCGATAAATTTAACCGTTTTCGATTTATTTCTTGTTTTTCTATTGGATGCAATAAAATAAAATAAAATAAAAGTTTCTACTTAGTTACGTAAAAAAACTAAAGATTATTTTTAATAATAATTTAATTACATTCATGTGGCTACATTAAATTCTCAATATGACCCCCGTTTACATTAATACATAATCTAACGCCCTGTAACTTTTGTAATGGACCAAGGTAAGTTTGACTTAATCGCATTATTTTGATGTAAGGAATCTACGCTTGCTCTGTGTCCCATCAATTTCGGGACACCCTGTATATGGAGAAAAACACAGTTTCGATCAAGTCTGTTACTGACAAACATGAAAATAAATGTGATACACAAGATCGATTTAAAAAAAGTTGACACAGGCCCCGGCGAGATTCGAACTCGCGATCTCCTGTTTACTAGACAGGCGCTTTAACCAACTAAGCCACGGCGCCTCCTGATAAATTCCTCTTTGTGTCGTATTCTGAGATAAACTATGGGAAATATGTCCGTGTGCTAGCAGCACATCAGAAATAGAAAATTTTTCGGGAAATGATAATTATTGATTTGACTATTTCAAATGGAATAAAGTAAAACAAATAATTACAACAATAGAATATAACGTAGTTAAATTTGAAGATACCGTTGATTTAAAAAAAAGTCCTCCCCGGCGGGGAATCGAACCCCGGTCTCCCGCGTGACAGGCGGGGGTACTTACCACTATACTACCGAGGACTTATAACAATTTTGTTACAAACACGAATAAATCGAGCAATATAAACTTAAAAAATTTCTAAAATAGATTCGAGTTGCTGACAGTGAATGAGGCATACTTTAAGTTGCCTTAGTGCAATCTTGCTTCCTAAAAAAGTTACGGAGCTTCAAATCAATTTTTTATATTTTTTAAGTTAATCTCCACACTTTTAAAGATATTTCTTAAGGACATGTGATATACGAAGCATTTTCTGGTACCTAACCAAAACTGGATATGGATTATTTGTTATCTAAAACGTAGACTTTTTAGAAAATGGAATTGTTATATGAATTATTTTACGTCTTTGAATGTGCTTCCATAAAGCAATGTCTAGAGATTGATATTTGAATAGAGATAAATTAATCTAAGTCGTAAACAGAAATATTTAATTTAGCTATAAATTTGAAACGAATCATTTAATTAAACTGGAATGTTTAAAAAAATTGAGTTGTCCGTAATTGTAAGCGCCAGCACAAAGTAAAGCCATGTTTCGCAAAACATTTTTTTCTTCTCAAAATTTCTACTAATGAAAAAGGATTACAAAAAGTTAAAGACGATTTCGCGTGTTCTTAGCCACCTCTATGGTTTAGGTGACAAAATAAGTTTATGATCGTCTTCGACTAATCCAAAAATTTCTCTGCAACAAATTTAATTGAAAAAAAAAAGATAAATAAATAAAGAAACAAAAACATGTTTCGAAGGTTGTAACTTTTTAAGAAAAGAAAATTGTATTAAAGCACCTTGATCCAAATTGGTTTATTTTTATCCATTATCGAAAATTTATTTATTTTAAACAATAGTTAAATTTTTTTGACTCATGAGACTTTCAACTTTCGTATTTTTTAAATTCATTATAATTTTTATTATTTTAAGTGTTTGTTAAATTTGGCTTATTTATTGTTCAATTTCTTCTGCACGAATGCATTACCTTTTTTAAATTTTATTATAATCATATACAGTGCTTTCCAAAAGTAACGAATAAATTCATTATTTTTTAAATTGAGAAGTTTTCGAAAAAATCCCCTGGCACGTCGATTTTGTTTTTAAAAAAGGCACTTTTTGACATACGACCCATATTTGTGACGTCATCGTTGTTCGAGATATGACGTCATCGACAATTTTTTTAAATAGCAACCCCCAATTTTGACCATGCCATTTGAAAGAGCGTGTCATTCTACATACACAGATCATGAAAAATTATGGTGTTACATAACAAAAATTTCAAGAAAATAATGTTTGAAGATTTTAAAATTTAATTTTCACAATACTGAAAATGATAATGATTATGTAAAAATCGACTAAATGGTGCACCTCCCCATTATGCAACACCTGTCCGTGCTTATTTAGATGAGCTGTTCCCGAATCGTTGGATAGGGAGAAGGGGGCCGATTGAGTGGCCAGCCAGATCGCCTGATTTGACACCCCTAGATTATTTCTTGTGGGGATACTTAAAAAGCAAAGTATACGTTACTAGACCGGTTAATTTAGAAGATTTAAAAGCAAGAATTCGTCACGAGATACATCGTATACCTCCTGAAGTTATTGATAATGTCCAAAAAGAATTTATTAATCGTCTTGGCTACTGTCAGGCAGCCAACGGTGCACAATTTGAACATTTAATTTAGTCGATTTTTACATAATCATTATCATTTTCAGTATTGTGAAAATTAAATTTTAAAATCTTCAAACATTATTTTCTTGAAATTTTTGTTATGTAACACCATAATTTTTCATGATCTGTGTATGTAGAATGACACGCTCTTTCAAATGGCATGGTCAAAATTGGGGGTTGCTATTTAAAAAAATTGTCGATGACGTCATATCTCGAACAACGATGACGTCACAAATATGGGTCGTATGTCAAAAAGTGCCTTTTTTAAAAACAAAATCGACGTGCCAGGGGATTTTTTCGAAAACTTCTCAATTTAAAAAATAATGAATTTATTCGTTACTTTTCGAAAGCACTGTATAATGTTATCTGTTGGCTAATGAAATACAATAAAAAAAAATGAAGTAACATTAAATATTTGTCCTTTGTATTGTTATGAATAATGCAAAGACACCGATGTCACTTTACTAACTGCGGGAACCAGCTAATTCAAAGTCATTCAAAGATAAAAGGTCAAGAATATCGCATAACATACATATGTATGAATCATAATTAAATAGTGGATTATTTGTACAAAATTGGCAAAAGAAATTTATTTTATTTTACTTCCAGCTTTACTACACTAAAGCAAAAAATTAAAGGGTCAAAAGAATTTCCGAAATTTTTACGTGATTTTCGACATACTGTATTTAGGTGAAAAATGGTCGTATCGGGAGTTAAAAAAAAAAGCATTTTGAAGCTCTAAGATTCTAGTTTTTAGAGCTCGACAAAAAAATTTTGCAAATTTATTTTTAGTTAAGCCATTGCATGTACCAGATAGCATTCAGATTCAATTTCCTTTTTTTTTAAATTTCTATACGACCATTTTTCATCGAAATATCGGACTTTTAATGTAAAAGGATTCTTTTGTCTTCAATCATCGATATCTCGGCAACAAATTATCGTACCGAGAATTGAAGGGCAGTTTCGAAAGCTGGAATAAATTTCCTATAACATGCTACCGCAACTTTTCGGGATGTTTTTTTTTCATCTTTTACACAAATTAAAAAAAAATAGGAAAAAAAGGGTCATTTATGGTTTTTTAGAAAATTGACGGCTAAATTAGAAATACTCACGAAATGACTAATGTTAAGCACGACTTTTACAGTTCGATACACCCAGGAGAACCCTGTAAGGTTTCATCTCGATCTAGCGAACCGTTTTTTTGTTTCAAACAGTCAAACTTTTCATAAAAATTAAAACGGAAAAAAATATTTTTTTTTGAGGTTTTTTCATATTTTTACCACAAATAACGTTTACATTCAATTTTTTTTTGTATTTTTGGAAAACCTTCGGGACATTGAAGAAAACAAAATCTAACTGTTTCCAGCACGATACGGCTTTTCCGTCCTATGCTTCTGTTCATCAACTTTTAATTAAATTAAAATTAAAGTTGATGGACCCAAACCAGATTTCAATTCATACCGTTTATTGAGACAAATTTCTAATTAATTTTTGTGCAGTCTGTAATCACTTAAAAAACAGTTTTTTAAAACTATCCTTTTTCTTCTCTGAAAAAAAATTTTATTGCAAAATTTTTTTGTCGCGCTATTTCTTAGAATGGTATGATAACCGTAGCTAATAAAAAAATTCAACCGAAAGGTCAAACACTAGAATCTTAAAGCTTCAAAATGCTTTGCCTTAATTCCCGATACGACCATTTTTCACCTAAATACAGTCTGTCAAAAATCACGGTAAAATTTCGAAAATTCTTTTGACCCTTTAATTTTTTGCATTAGTTTATGTCGAAATTTATAAAAATTGATAGATTATTTAATATAAGTTTGTATTTGGCCAACTAAAAAGCTTTAAAACGTCATACTATTTTATTTATGACAATTAGATTTTTGTAATGACATTTTTTATTATTTTTTTTTAGAAATACATCATTTCAACGGAAAGATGAAAAAAATCGAAAAGTATAAGGAAATGTGTCATATTAAAAAAAATTGGGTTATCACCAAAAAACTTGATGTTGCAATTAAATGTAGCTACGCCACTGGATTCTAGGATTAAATGAATCAAGATATGGAGATGCCATTTTCGCGGTTTAATTTTTCTGGAAAACTGAACCCCTAATAATCACTTTTAGATTATTGCTATTTACCTACCTTCTTGGGATATATGAGACACCCCCAAAACGTGTTGAAATTGGCCCTACCTATACTCACCCCACCAACGCTACACCCTTTCCGATGTAATTTAAGGAATGACCGAAACCTAGGGGAAAAGCAGCCCTGCTCCCTTCCTCAATTCCAGCTATTTTTGGAGGAAATTGTCTTACAGTGTCAGAAGGGCAATTCATTAGACGTAAAACGGAGTCGAACGTTCTGGTGGCCTGATCGATTATGTTGCTTTTTTCGTAGTTTTTCCACTAAAACAAACATCTTTATAAACATCTTTAACCAAAATAAAAAAAATCAAAAAATGATTTGGCGATGATATTGAATTGATGCTTAAATTCATAGCGTTTTTATTGAATTCAAAATGCATTTCTTTTCAATAAACAAAATACATAAGACATTCAAGGATTTATTCTTCCAATTATTTATGACTGCCTCCCAACGATCTTATAATTTTTCAATTCCACACCTGAAGAAATGAGGTGGTTTGGAAATGAAAAATTCACATAATTTAGAAGTGTCATATCGTCGTTAAAGATTTCGGATATGTTGTTCGATAGAGAACGGAAGGGATGGAAATCTGTTGGTGCAAGGTCAGGAGAATAGGACAAATGTGGAATAATCTCCCAATCGATATCTTGAATAGCCGCTTTTCTGATGTTAGCAAAATTACGAGTACTTGATGGTGTCTTCACAGTTTTTTTTCTTGAATTGCAGTCTCAAGTCAACGACAATAAACCTCAACAGTGATGGTTATGTTCCTCGGAGCAATTCGTTGTAGATGACATAGCCTTTGTTGCATCAGATCAGCTTTCGCGGATACCTGAAATTATTTGGTGAGTTGCCTTTCTGTTAAGGCTCAGTCATTCTTTTCTGATCTTGGTGTTGACGCAAAGGAGACATTTTCGTCCTCAGTAGATATAGATATATAGATTTGAAAGTGCTGTAGAGACAGTGCACACAATTTTTTTTTTACAGATAACGCGTTTGTACAGACAAATACCTACCATTGCACTATTTACTGCATCTACAAACTGATCCTCCGGTATCTTCAGTAACTCCTTGGCATTTTCAGGCGTTGTGGACCAAACCAAGGAGCTTAGATTATCCGTCAACTATAATAAAAAGTTTAAGTAATTATTTCTACTTCAAAAAATATATCTATAAATACTCACAGGTAGGAAAGCTATAGGACCTGTTGGTAAAAACCGCTGCCAAGCTATGATGTTTTTGATGCTCTAAACATATATATTTGTGTTAAGTATTTACTCTATATACTGTCTGTAATCCAAGAGAGATATCTGTGTAGTTATGTAATTTTTGGTGGCAATAAATAATTCTTAAATATTATAAGTTCCTTTCACATCTCTCTTAGATTACTAGGTACCTGTAACAATGTAAATCCTCCTCTTTTATATAAAATTTACCTCAGACAGTTTAAGTGTGGCAACAACACCCAGTTGATGATAATTCCAGTTCAAATAGTTCACTTTCATTGCCTTTCTAACTTCTGAGTTTACTCCATCGCAGCCCAACTGCAAACAAAAATATATAGTATACAGTGTGTTGCGCCACACACGGAAAGAAAAGAAAAACTAAAACAAAAAAGAAATGTTTACTTTTGTCAAATTATGAATAATTCCATACGCAAAAGTGCTTTAAAAATAAAACATCCAAAAATTCAACAAATTTTGATAGTTCGATAAATTTTCAACTTTAAATTTAGATAATTTTGAAATAAAACATGAACAATATTGAAGTGTAGTCAGCAAATGAATATGGAAAGCATTGTTAATAAAGATTATTACAATTTCTTATGTCCTTAGCTATCACTAATACTTTGCTACTAAATAAGTGCCAAGAAATAAGAAAATTTTATCTATTGACATCTTCCAGTTTCTGAAGCAAATCTAGAAGAACTCTTACTGCGCATGTTAAAGTCAAGTCTATCTTAACATTTATTGAAAAATTCCCTTAATGAATTTTAAATAAAAATTGTGGTAAAATATGTTTTCGTACGCACAATAATATAATAATTTAACAAAAAAACCCATAAAAAAATTTAGGGGTACGTCACCCCCAAATAAACCCATAACTCCCATTAACCCTTTTACTTTGTAGATATACGAGGTCTGTTCAGAAAATAACAGACATTTGTAACAAAAGCCAGGACGCGTGGTAATTTATTTGTTAGTTCCCGGAACGGGTGGGCCAACTCAAACAGTTAAATATTTTAGTCAACACTAATTATCGAAAGTTAAGGGCTCTCAAATAGCGTCGCCACAAGGCCATCCTTCGCAGAAATTTATCAATATTTTTTAACAAGTTCACTTAGACTGTCGGGGCCATGTGTTGAACATCTAGTATAAAGAAAAAAATCGATATTTCTAATAACGCACGAAATGTATTCAAAAGAACATGTAGGAATTCTAAGATATTTAAATAAGTTGTTAAATTGATAATAATTGGAAAAGAATAATAGATCAAATAGCCGGTTTTTAGGCGGATTTTCCAAGCTATAAGAACAGATTAGATAAGATTGACTAATTCGTCCCGTAGTGTTACACGGAGTCACTAGAGGAAGGCTAGGGTTACTTCTAAGTCCAGTTAGTCACATAATTATTTATATAAATGTAAATTCAGTCCATTAGATAACTATTAACATGGCATAGTTATGCCAAAGCGTCTCGATATTCAGGGTTCCCGCCAGTAAGATAAGAACAGAAACGTCTGGACCCAAGAAATGGGCGTGTCGAAGCGAGATGTCGAATTCAGGAGAGATCTCCGAAAAAACAGGCAGTTTTTCCTTGGGTTCCACATTGAGCGGTCTGCTTAGTTTTAGAGTCTCGGATTAATTTAATAATCATTCCAAATTTTGCTATGGATCGCGCATTTCCTGAATCTCGGTACGCTGTCGCGTGTCAATAAATTAATTAATAATGTTGTTCGAGCCCGTTGTGTCGTATTTTGTTTGTTTGTTCTGTTTTATTGTTATTAAAATCCTTCCTGGAAGTTTTGGTGTTTCTTTCTTGTTCTTCCAATTTAAATGTCACCCTATATAACCAACCACTGGATTACCTGGTACATGAGCAACATACGGTAAGTGTCTGGTTCATTTTCTGAACGTACAACATTTCTAAGTTCCCACGTATTAAAGTGTAATGATAATTATAAACTCCCTTTCGAGAAGTTAATAGCAAACCCTTTTGTCAGTTAATATCGTTGTGATACTGGTCATAGCGGTAGATAGATGATAAGTGAAGAAATATCCCCTCAGGCTACACATTTTTTTATTACGTACTAATGAAGATAGAAGTGATATGCGATTGGCAGCATTGCTTTGCGCATAACCTCCTATGTAACCACATGTTCTCAGATTGCTAATGTTTCATTTAGTTTTCGTTATATTGTTATTTGAATGCAACGTGTTTAGGTGTTAGTGACGATATTTTAAATGTGCGATTTACTGGAGCAACGAGTCAATGTAAAATTTTGCGTGAAACTGGGGAAAACTTCTACGGAAACGGTTCAACTTTTGAAACAAGCTTACGGACATGATGCTCTGGGTCGTATGCAATGTTACGAATGGTTTTCACTAGTGGTCGTCAGTCAATTGAAGATAATCCTCGACCAGGAAGGCCTTCGACTTCAACTGATGATTCCCACGTTTAGAAAGTCAAAGATCTGGTGGTGGAAAAAACAGACGCACTTTAAAACCAAAACACTTTTTGGAACTTGCAGCAACAATTAGCGAGAGCCCGCGGCCCCCCTGACCCCACCTGGCGACGCCCATGGACAAGGACCAATAGTTTATAAAATTAATATTAAAGTTTAAAACAATAAAGTTTGGTTATTTTCTGAACAGACCTCGTACATTTTTTCGAAATTTGAACACCCCACTTTGTGGACTTTTATTTCATCAAGGGTGCAGGGGGGTATATAGGTAAGTTGTATTAAATAATTATAATTTGAAATATCCAATAGCCACATGCCTTGTATCGGTTCATTTACGAATCACCATTTGTAAATAATCTTATTCCATTTTAATACTATATCTGTAACATTAAAATTGTCACAATGTGCGAGATAATAAAAAAAAACATGTTTTAATTATTCAGCTGCTAAATTACATTTCAAATAAGTGCACTGTGAAAAAAGGTAAAGACCAAGGTTTAAAGACCAAGTTAATTGACAGTACATAAAACAATCTGTCGGCCAATTTCCATCAATCTGTACATATAGTTTATTTACAAAGAATTTTAAAAATAGCGATTCCTCTATTGTTAGTAGAACCGACTCAACTGTAGCGTTTGCATACAGTCTTCCGTTGCTGCTTCGATCAGATGAAGTAATTAATACGGTATTTTCGCATAAAACGGCTATTTGAAAAATCGTAAATTCGGCTTCTAAAAGAATGTAAGTGGTAGAATTATTGTTTGATTTTGAAACATGCAGTTTAAAATCGATGAACGTGTAGAAATGAGTATGGATTTCTTTAAACTAAGTTGTGATTTGTCGAATAAACTAAACTAAAACATACTCATTAGTGGATATTTTCTGATAAATGCATAGGTACAATTTCCTAGCACGTTTGTATAATAATTTCTGTTCAAGATGTAAGCAACAACTGAATTTATTTCACTTTCATATTAATGATACATTGTTGTAAAGGTAATAAGAGTCAATATTTTTCAAGTTACTGTGTTCATTTGTTATCTGGTTGTTGGCAAGTACCAGGTTACAGCCTATTTTTTTGGGGTATCCGTAGAAAGGTAGTAATTACAGTACCTACGACAAATTGCTCACTCAAAGGTGAAATGTTCGATTGAACTTAACGTAATCTTGAAAAAAGATGCAGTTATTCCCATTTTAATGCATTACGATAATTTACGACAGCACAAAACAGCCTCCTACCCCTACATTCCGGAAAAATACATATATTATGTCGATACCTACAATTTCATAAAAGATAGTCTCAAGGACAAAATATTTGTAGATGGATTAGATTTTTTTTCAGTAGATAAATAAATGTAAAATTTGTTTTAAGAAAATTTTAAAAAGAAAATTGGTGGCAAAGGCGTTTCTAAAAAGTTTGAGTCCACCATTTTATAGAAGTATACAATTGTTTCAAAATTGCAAATATTTATATCTGTAGGGTGGTACATCAGTGGTCAAACCACAATTGCTCTGTAATTTTTCGAGATACGAAAATACATATATTTTTTAATGTTATAAGTTGTTTTATATTCGGTTGCAGCATTGGCAAATTATATGCAGGGTGTCTCAATATTCCCCCTACATCGATTTACCACAGATTCTTGGGATCAAAATAGAACTTTTTATTAAACCTCTGTTCAAAGTTACTTCTCTCAGCCGCTAGAGAGCGTCAAACTGGGTATTTTTTTTCCAAATAACTCTAAAACCCTTTGTTGGATTTGAATGAAATTTGGTTTTGTTAGTATAGTCTTTCAATGTCAATTGAAGAATCAACAGGATGACAGTGTGTACCAGGTTCAGTCGCTGACGCAGCAACTCAGCATTGAAATATTTGAAAAAACGTGTTTCCATATTTATTTAGCCATACCCATATACAGGTCTGGTCGAACTAAACGTAGAGGTGGTAGAAATGTATACGCCCAGTTGAGGAATGCGAGCGCGGGCAAACGAAATACAAATTTAGTTGCATTGGGCTACTATGCAATAAATCTCATCCGTTGACAAGTGGTCGACAAATTGCCCAGCAGTGCAGTGCAGCAATGCGGAATTTGGTGTGATTCAGGTAATTTTAATTAATTATAGGCACCTTCTATCAATCATTCATATTAATAATCATATTCATATTAATCATTCTATTAATCATTAATATTACAAATGCGAAAGGGAAATAATATTATTACAACATGGCATTTTGGAGACCTTTTGAAACGGAACAAAACGAAATTTACCATCAATATAATAAAATTGTTTGAGGACATAAATAATTAAAATATGTTGTTGACCAAATCAACATATAATAGAAATTTTCTGCATATTATATAGAAATTATTATAATTGTTTACCTTTACCAGAAAACATTTTTAGGGACGCCTATGAAACTCATTAAATTTTATTGCCAGACGTTTTTTTACATGTTCAACTGACTTCGGAAAGACTATACATGTGTGTAGTTATCACTTTCTGACATAGTAACCGAAATTTAAACTGATCCTTCAACTTCAAGTTCTTATTTTATTAAACTATAGAGCCTTCGTAAATATTTACAGGTCACGTGATTCGTTGACAATGATTCGTTCACAATGAACAATGACAAACCGTTTCGAGATAATGCGATCACTGATTAGTTGAATAGTATCTCGTAAAAAATTACACCAATCACAAACGGTGAAACAAAATGTGTTTTAATGTTTGATCTTTAAATTTAATTGTCAACATGCCAAACAAAATTAATGGTCACGTGGCTCGTAATCATTTATGAAAACTATGTATAAAGGCTTTTTTCAAGTACCTTATCTCTTAAAAATTTTTCGTATTCTAA